AAAAGAACTACATATTATAAAAAAGGCTAAAGTCGAAGACCCAGACTATTTGATCATTGAAGAGGGTCCTAGTTACAATGCTGAAACTAGTCATATCGAAAAAATAAATATATTTTATGATCCTCAGAAAGTAAGCTAATTGACTTTTTATATAAGTATATATTTCGATAAGGTATTCTACCTTTCATAGTTTCTAAGGCATGATCAATATTTTTCTATGTAGGGCATATGCAAGATGAAGAAGGTCCAACAGACTTCCTAGGTTTTAAACCACCAGGCTACACCATGTAGAATGATATAAATGTATCCACTTAGATGAATGGATAGAATTAATATATTTTTTTAGAACTATCTATTATTTTTTCATCATAAACTAACTTATTTTTTTATTTTGGTCAAACATAAAACCCAAGGAATGACACGTCTGTTCACAAAGGAGCAATCTCAAGAATATATCTAATATCTGTGGATATCTGAAGATTTTCTGGTGAGAGATCTTAAATCGACTAATCATTCACAATCTTCCGTATTTATGAGTTCAAAATTCACATTTTTTGAGAAGCTTTTAGAAAAGAAACAGCAAAGAGAGGATTAACTTTATATTAATACAAAACCAGTGATGGATAAAATTTTACCACCCCAAAGTATCCAATCAATCCCATCCTATTCCGAAGTACCTATGGAATTTCTAAACTTACTAGAGTTAGAGATTTTTAATAAATTGTATTCTAATAATATTTTTAACACTAATTCAACACATAAACAATAGATGGAATTTGCAAGATAGGCACACTTTACAACCTCTAAAACTTACTACAAACAGTTTAGAGGGTATTGTCATCATCTTTGGACAAAAATATTACATATACATAATCAGCAGACAGAGGCTCAGAAAAAACCTCTAGAGCATTATGTTATTCCTAAGGCATTTCAACAAAACTCAAAAGAAAAGCTTAATCTTGCAGACGAAACAACAAAAAAAGTTATGTGTGGTATTAACCTTAGTGGATATAGATATGTCCTCAAGCCTTAATGTTCTAAAAATACATTAGGTGAAATGATAGTAGATTTTTATACCTTTCCAAATCCTGTGGTAGCAGATAATACCAAAGCAGTAGTAGATTATTATTATCAGCACACTTGCTATAATCTACTACACTAATCTAAAGAATTTGTCAAACAAATGGTGGAGACTTTTAGTACTTTCACGAGTAGCAATAATGAACTATATACCACAGCAAATATGACATCCTCATACCACCAAAATCATCGAAAATGTGTTAATAATCTAATTCAAGGCCTCTAACTGTTATCCAATACTATTAATAATTATTTTCAGGTGGTATATCTAACCTTATATGCGAAGATGAAAAGATTAGATCTTGGTCCAAATGTTCCTAAGTTATTCAGGATCTTCCCTACTATAGCAATTAACTTTAATGCTATTTACCAGTTCCATCGGGATCTAAAAGATCACCACAATTCACTTTGTGTAGTGTGCCCACTTGGAGTATTTGAGAGTAGGCAATTGGTATTTCCTGAACTTAAATTAGCTTTTCATATTAAACAGGGCCAAATAGTTGCCTTCTGATCCAATATCCTAGTTCATGGAAATCTACTAGTTCTTTCTGGTATATGACATAGTATCGTTTTTTTCATTCATTTAACAATGATCAAGCAAAATAGAAAATTCAGCTCCTTATTTAGCAATTCAGATTCAGAAGATAATATGGAAGTAGGTATTGATGATAATAATAAAAAAGCAAAGACATCAAAAAAGCTTGTAATACGGGATAGGAAGTGTTCTAAATTTTTAAAGTCAGATTCTCAATTACTAAAAATTAAAAATTCAAGATGAAGCTATCTTGGTAAGTATAATTGCTATGTTAAAAATTCTATGTAGTCATTCTTCAAACTCAATATTTATGTTTGCTTCTACTTATTTAAGATCTTGAACCCTTGAGAAGAGGTTTACTGGCGAAATACAAAAATAATTAGCATTAGATTGTAATATAATCAAATATAATGTAATTGAGTAATATTCCAACTAACTTTTTGTCTCTGGCTCAAAGCTCATATATTGGGATATTTTTCACATAATTTTGCCATTTTATATTGACTTCGAATATACAAAATTTGAATCAAAATTATACTATGTATAAAGTTAATAAAATCACGTAATATATTATAAGTCTTATAATCATTATAGGTCCTTAAATCACTATATATTATTAAATATGGCAAACATCAGTATTTCAGTTATCCTTGATAAAAAAGCTAAATCATAAAAACTTATTAATAATAGACAAGGATACGACATGAAATATGTCAACTCATATATTCTGAATTATTATGGTATTAATGATTATCAACAATTCTTTGAAAAACTCTTTGAGACTGAAAGACAATATGATACTTTATCAGCTATTCAGCCTAATGAAACTCCACAGCAATGGACACTCAGAGTTCGAATTTCTTTACAAAAGCTAGTCTCTAAGAGAAAGAGGAGTGTATACTATATACATGCTCTATTTCTAGCATTTGGTAAGGGTAAATTTGTAGATCATGATTATTACTGACCTAGAATTCATAAAACTCGTATGGCAATTTGTCTCGATTGTATGAAGCTTATTCAGGTTAATGATATGAAGCTAAAAAAGAAATTTCATCATACTATAGGTAGATATGTAGAAATTCTCAAACCTAAAGATCTGATGCAAGAACATTGGGATCATGATTGTAATAAACCAAAAACTAGAGATGGTTCAGCAAGAATTATTCAAAATGTTTGGAGATAATTTCAAGAAAGAGAGCCATCAAATGCACGACTCGCTTGGAACAGCTTAGCAAATGATAATACTTTGGATAATAAGAAATTTCTAGGTTTAACTCGACATAAAGTAAAAAATTCTCAGACTCGAGAACAATTTAATCAATAGCATACTAAATGAATTGAATTATATAAAAACAATCTCATAATGCGCAGTTCTATTATTAATAGTCAATATAAAGAATATTATATTTCGGTTAATTGAATAGATTCTAAAAAGAGTCAATTGCAGGTTAGATTCTGAAAGCAACTTTTAGAAATAAAAGCATAGTATTTAATCAATTACTTAATTATATTATTTATTCGATTTTTCAGTTTTTTTGGGTTCAGAATTTGTGGGTTCAGCTGGCAATGCATTTTTTATCTTATGCTTTTGACGTAACTCTATCTCTTTCTGCAAATCCAGTGGAGTATCGAATCTTAAACGAATTGCTAGTGAATCATCTTCTGGCCTATCTAAATCAAACACAATAAATTCACCTTTGCGTAAGTAACTGTTAATAACTATTGATACATTTTTTACATCATCTGTATATCGACGAATAATTTTAGAGACATTTTCATATGAGCTACCAGAATTAAAAAGTACTAAGTAATTAGCATTTTCATGCATGAATGTAGTGATTTTATGATATTTCTGTGCCACAAATATACATGAAATATTTCGATATTGCCTATTTCCAAAAAATTGGCTAATTCGATTCTGTATATATTCTGAAACAAGACACAAATCCTCAAAAACAATTGCTGTACTTTGTTCAGATGAAAATGCTTTTATACTAAGAATTTTTTCTGGTGATATATAGCTAAATCGTATATTTTCATAGTAAGGTGCTTTCAGGTCTTTTGAAATTATGCTATACATATATCTAACAAATGCCTATTTTGGCTTGTCAGGATAATAACCACAAACTATTAAATCATCACAAGAAATATATCTCCTACCACCTTTTTTTCTTTTATATATGTATTCAGCTTTATCACTGAGAAAAAGATTTGTTAAGATATTAGTCTTACCTGATCCACTTTTTCCTGTAACTATCATTCTAAAGGGCCATGTTGGACTAGCTGGATGAGATTGACAATGAGATGCAACATGTTTATTAGCTTCATCCATATCCATAAGGAATAGTTTCATAGAAGATATTTTTAAATTTTTTTGTATAGCAGATTAGGAATCTATAACTCTGTTTTCTATATACTGAATAAAAATTTTCTTCTCCCTGATAATTCACTTTACTTTGTTCATTTATAGTCAGTTTATATATTCCAGAAAACAAATTACTGAAGGTAGTCATACTGTGGGTATAATCTGGCTTCAAGTTCAAAGAACAAGAAGGCAGGGTTGGGTGAAAAATTTGCCTGTATATATACCATATAATTAATAATATTATCAAGACAAAAATAACAAACTTAATAGGAGTAGTTTAATACTTATTAACTGTGCTAGTACCTAATGCTATAATAGGTAATTCCTTACTCCTTCCTATTGTAATATTATGAGATCTAATCAGAGTCACATTCTTTATCTCTTGAAATTAGTTTTCTGCATTGATTAGTTGTAATATATTATCTTTATTATTTTCATTAATAATAGTTTCATCACTTACCTTAGAAGTAACCTCAGTATCGATTTTTAAAGATTCTAATATTAGAACAATTTTATCATTGGCATGAATCAGTATATCAGTGCTAATTTTTTTGACTTCGTTCATAATTTTTCTGCATGCAAAATATTGACTAAGATTTTTGCTAGTTTCACTAACTGCAGAGATATTATTATTGCAAAGCAATGACCCTTCAGGTCTAGACTTTGATATATTTTTTTTACTATCTTCACTAACTACAGATATCAAAATATCCTCTGATTTTAGATGCTTAAGCTCACTGATCTTAGAATCTAATTCAATCTTTATATTCACCAATTCAGCTTTGAGGGACATTATCTCAGAATCTTTTTTTGATGAGTATTTCTGAGTTAAAGTTAATTCTTCTTCCAATGACTTGATTCTAGATTAGAATAAATTCGCTTCTTTCAACTTACTATAATACTTAGCTTTATACTTAGTAAGGTTGGTATTTTTGTTTTTCAACTCTTTAATTTCTTCTTTGAGTTGTTTTTTAATCAAGTTATTTTGATTTTTGTCATTAATGTACTATTTAATTTTTTCTAGAGATGTAAAATCTTGTCATTTTTTTTCTCTAGCTCTTTAGTAATCATATCAGAATACACTTCTGCAAGAGCTTTAGTATTTCTAAATTTGGAATATTTATTAGCAAAAAATTCAGTTTCAAAAAGCAACTCATTGCATTGAGATTCAAGTTCACGTTCTCTACTACTATCTAATTTATATCTATGTTCTTGAAAATTTTTGGCATCAGTAGATTCACTATACAAAGTACGTATTGGTGCTATATAATCGAAGAGAATTATGTTCAAAGAAAAAAAACTAATCACAATTTGACTTTTTACTGGTTATAAATAAAAAGGAACCCAAATAATAATTAGTATTTAATTAGGCAATAATTAGATAGAAGTTAGTAATTAGCTGAGCAAAAATTGATACTTAGCTAGGCATAAAATAATAATTAACCAGTTTTATATGAAAATAGATCTATAATCAAGTCAGTACTAATTATTTCTCGGTTTTTGTCTGATTTGTATCTGATTATTGTCTGATTATTACTCAGTTTTTATCAAATTACATACTAGAAATGAATGGATACTTTTCTAGATTTTTTTTTTTTTTTTTTTTTTTCCACTTAGGCAATCTTGCCTTTCATTTTATTAGGAGAATCATCAAAAGATAATACAGACAATATAAAATACTACATCTCGACATAATACTTTACTAC